AACTTTTGATTCTACTGTTTACCCAAATTAAACATACTTCACTATCATTGCCCATTTTGCTCTGGCTCATTATTCACGAGCCCTATCAAGGTGGAGCGATTCAGAGAAGCATTGTGTGGAGAGGACTTCGTTGGACCTGCTGGTAAAACCGGAGATGACCGTGGGGGGTTTCCACCATTCCTGGAAGTCTCATATGGTGACCGGATGCTGTCCTAGTTGCTGACCAGGCCCTGATGTCCATCTGTATACATACAACGCCCTGTTTGTATGTCTTTGTGGTAAGCGCAATCATTTACTGGATTTATCCACAAGCCTAATTGGATTTCAATATTTATATACTTATATCTTCATCTACATGGAACTATTCATATTTTGACTGATAATTTACTGTCTCATCCATCTTTACATTGATGGTTGGTATATTATTTAGCGCTGCATACCATTTGTAGATTTTGTTTTTTTTTGGTGTTGAGGATTGCCTTGTGTGCTAGCTGCTGTCTTGTGATTTGCGCTCACTTACCTTATTCCAATATGAAATTATATGGACCCTCTCTTTGATGTATTTAAGCTGCAAGTTAGATTTTTTTAAGATATGCTTAGTGTTGCCTTATAGTGTAGCAAGATGTATTAATGCAGATGGTGGTAGGCATTGTTTGCGAACCGTAATAATTAATAATAATTTTGTGAATTGACATTTACAAAATTATTACACAGGATGTTTGCATGTAACTTATTTGTTTAGTTAAAGTAGATGTAAAGTAGTAGTTAAAAAACAAGGTCTACTAAAAGGCTGCCTTAACCACTTCCAGTCTGGGCCAATTCTGACATTGCTGTCCTACTACATTTTTTTTTGTTAGAAAACTAATTAGTTAGAACCCCAAACACTATATATTTTTAAGCAGAGGCCCTAGAGAATAAAAAAGGGTGGGTGTTGCATATTTTATGTATCACATAGTATTTGAGCAGTGGGTTTTCAAGCGGAAATGTTTTGAAAAATACATACTTTAGTGAATTTTAATGCACAAAAACACTATATAATAGCCAATTTTGGCAAACTAAAAAAGATGATGTTACACTGAGTAAATAGGTAGCAAACATATCACGCTTTAACATTGCGTATGCCTGTGAATTGGTGCCAAAGTATGGTACCTAAAAATCTTCATAGACAATGCTTTAAAAGCTTTTACAGATTATCCGTTTAGAATTACACTAGGTCTGGTGCTAGAATTAGTTCTCTTGCTCTTCCATTCATGGTGATACCTCACTTGTGTGGTGCAATTGCTTTTTACATATGCGTGTGAAACCGACAATTGTGTTCTACTTTGCAGGCGAGCACGGTGGGACAGGGCTTTTTATTTATTTTTTTTTATTTATGTACAGTATCTCACAGAAGTGAGTCCACCCCTCACATTTTTGTAAATATATTTTATTTTATCTTTTAATGTGACAACACTGAAGAAATTACACATTGCTACAATGTGACGTAGTGAGTGTACAGCTTGAATAGCAGGGTAAATTTGCTGTCCCCTCAAAATAACTCAACACACAGCCATTAATGTCTAAACTGCTGGCAACAAAAGTGAGTACACCCCTAAGTGAAAATGTCCAGATTGGGCCCAATTAGGCATTTTTCCTCCGCAGTGTCATGTAACTCGTTAGTGTTACAAGGTCTCAGGTGTGAATGGGAGCAGGTGTGTTAAATTTGGTGTTATCGCTCTCACTCTCTCATATTGGTCACTGGAAGTTCAACATGGCACTACACGGCAAAGAACTGCTAAAGAAGCTGAGGGTAAAGGTGATGGTCTGGCCAAGCATGTCTCTAGACCTAAACCCTATTGAGCATCTGTGGGGCATCCTCAAACAGAAGGTGGAGGAGCACAAGGTCTCTAACATCCACCAGCTTCGTGATGTCATCAAGGAGGAGTGGAAGAGGACTCCAGTGGCAGAGGGGGAATTCCCTTCTCCACCTGTAAAAATCCAGTGGCTTTTTATTTGTTCAGATTACTTTTACCGGCTCTAAAAAATTACATCTTGATCATCGCCGTAGCGATGGTCAAGATATCACTCTTCCCATCTAAGGACATATAGGTATATCCTATGGACAGGAAATGGTTAAATTTAAAAAAGAAATCCTGTGGGGAAAAAATAATTATTGAATATACCTACGTTACTTCAGCCTTCCACCCATAGGAGTTTAATTACTAAAGCTGGAGAGTCCAAAATCAGACTTCCTTCTGCATAGAAACCAATCAGCTTCCAGGTTTCATTGCCAAAGCTTCATTGAGCAAGCTGAGGTTAGAAGCTGATTGGTTTCTATGCAGAAGGGAGTCTGATAATGTCTAGGTGATGTTGATATCATCATCCTTCTGGCAATATCCCAGGGAATGCTGAGTACTCAAAGTCTAATGAGAAACTCCTGCATTGTGATGGAGCATTTTGTCACATATCACAGGGCTTGAGAAAAAGCCGCTCGCCCGTTCGCCAAATGCGAGGAGAAATTCCTCTGTGGCGAGCTGCTGCAAGCGGCGAGCACAGATAAAGAAGCATGGAGCGACTGCACATGCGCTCCAAGCCTCATTGTGAAGCCGAGTTCCGGTTTATAACTTCCGGTTTCAGCGGCATAGCCATTACAGTGGCAGCGCTGCTGAGGGGACACGTGCAGGAGAGGTCCGCTCTCCTACGCTGAGAGGTGTCACCCTCTCCACCACTGCGGGGGACTCGAGGCCCGCTCTCCACCGCTGTGGGGGACACGAGGCCCGCTCTCAACCTCCTTGGGGGACACGAGGCCCGCTCTCAACCGACTTGGGGGACATGAGGCCCGCTCTCCACCGCCTTGGGGGACATGAGGCCCGCTCTACACCTCCTTGGGGACACGAGGCCCGCTCTACACCTCCTTGGGGGACACGAGGCCCGCTCCCCACTGCCTTGGGGGACACGAGGCCCGATCCCCACCGCCTTGGGGGACACGAGGCCTGCTCTCCATTGCCTCGGGGGACACGAGGCCCCCTCTACACTGCCTTGGGGGACACGAGTAAGGTTTGTGCCTGGCTAGTAGGTCTGGACTCGAAATTTTAACCCCTGACATATCATATTGTCCAACCTTTTTCCTAACAGTTTTTTTCCTTTTTTTTCTTAAGTTTATTACATTATTTTTATGGTGGGGGTTATGAATAAATGAGGGGACCTTGCTTTGTACTGCAAGGTCCCCTTAAAATTTCAAGTGAGGTATTAACTAATTCACTTTATCTAAAGTGAATATTTATAAAATGGAGGATACAACATTAAGTGCACATTCACTGGGTATACATTCACACAACATTCACTGGGAAGACTCACAGAATCACCTGCCCGGTCACTGTATAACACTGTTTACTGACATTCACTAAAATCTTTCTTCCTTGGAACATAGTGCTTCCTACATTAGTCAGCCTATTTACAACCCAATAAAGGCTTGCCAAAAATGTTCACCTAACACAATCACCATTCTGAAGTGATGAATCTGTGTTTTAAAGGTCAGAACATGAAGAAATATGAAAAAAATCATCAACCTGGCATTCTGTAGTTATAATGCCACCTTGGTATCCCATAATTTTTACGCAGAATACAATTCATTTTACTGTATACTAATAAAAAGTATATGTAAGAAACATATCAGAGTCTAGGCTGTTGACAAATATAATTTGATTTGAGCAGCAATTTTTATGCATATATAATTTTTAGATAAAAATATATTACAATAAAATGATTTATACTTGTTTACGTCATAGAACAGTTGGCATCATGTAAAAATAATATCATGTAGAAACTAATAAACAGATTATATAAAAATAGGTGAATTAAAAGGAAATTAAAGGAATATTTTACTGAAAATATCATTCATTTTAATTATACAGTTGATTAGCCACAATTGATGTAGATTATTAAGGTTAGTTGCATATATTTGTAAATCAAAGATTATGCGTATTTTTAAAAAGAAATGCATGCTTCAGGTCTCACCCCTCCCTCCCACTGTTCTCTATCCGATCACTGTAAAGAAAAAAAGCAAATCCCTCACTCAAAGTCTTTTTATACTTACGATATCATAAGTGGTGGTCTTGTGAGATTGCAATCCTGAGCCTTCTGCTTTTCTCTTTAATTCCTGGAAGGGTCATTTGTCAGGCATCCACATCAGTGGATACTTACTATTGGCTGTCCAGTGGCGGGATGCTCTCATGATCAAGAAAAGTAGACTGACGATCACAGGGGGGGCATTGCAGTGCTGGATCATTGCTCCCCCCACCCAGTACTGGCAGTGGTGAGGGACCTAGAGGGGGGACTTGGGTTAGTATATCTGTCCTCACAAGGTAAGGAAAAAATGCTTCTTGCCATGGGTTAGACGTTTGTGGAAGGGAGTTTTGATGAAAAGATTTTTGTAAAACTAGAGAATTTTAGCCTAGAGTGGGGCTTTATGGGCCCCATCACTTTTTTGCATATCTGATCGAAAGTTATGTACTTATGACTTAAATGTTTTATTTACTTTTTTCATTCTCTTACTGTGAAAAAGATGTAAAATTTGAGGCTAACAAGGGGCTGTGTTTGACACAACAAGTTTAGGATAGTTGAAAGGAGCATCTGTTAACCCCAGGAGCCATGTAATGCCCGCTGCCTCCTAATAACACCAAAACTACTAGAATTTCACTTTCCTTTTGAACTGCTGTTCATTTTACCAAAATGGTGAAATTTCACAGGCAACTCCCATTTTTTGCCAAAAAGCCCTCAGTTTCACTTAAACCTAACCAGAATATTGAAAGCATCAAAGTGATTACGTCAGAGATCCAGGTATGACCAGAGATGTGTGGACTGACACAGGGAACAACAGGCTTTAGAAATGATGAAATAATAATAAAATTTATTAAGAGCACAAATATACAAACGCAGTGCAAACAAAAAACCAAACCTTAAACTAATATTAATATGTATAAGTGTAGTCAGGGCTGGAGAGGTGGAGTGGTCAGGCAGGCCGGGTCAGGAACAATCGGGCAGATAAGGTACAACAGGAGCAGGCAGGAGAATGGTCAGGAATAGCCGGGGTCGGTGCAGGTGGAGTTCTAGCAGAGTCAGAGTCAAGCAGGAGAGTCAAGCAGGCAGAAGACAGGATACAGGAAACAGGATCAGGACAACAGGGCACATGGGAAAACACTAAGGCACTGATTGCAGGCCTGGTCCTGCCTAAATACACCTCCTGCAATCAGCCTCAGGTGATGGCTTGATTGCAGGAGTGAGATCCTGGCTGCTGAAAGCACCCGCTGGCAAGCACAGGTACTGCAGCCCACAAGGCAGGAGAGCCCATTCCTGACAGTACCCCCCCCCCCCAAGGAGCAGCCTCAGGACGCTCCAAACAGTCCTTAATGGCCAAAATGTTCCACCGCCCGGGTCAGGTAACTGGCTGGATATCCCACTGCCGGAGTCAAGCGACTGGCTGGGTTTCCTGCTGGTAGACCTATCTTTTTGTAGGAGACCACAGGAAGGCAGGTTGCTGGACACAGGATTTCCAGAAGCAGGCTGGGAATCAGGGGCTGGCACATCTGGCTGGGCAGCGAGCAGAGGCACATCGGGCTGGGCAGCGAGCAGAGGCACATCGGGCTGGGCAGCGAGCAGAGGCACATTGGGTTGGGCAGCAGGCACATCGGGTTGGGCAGCAGGCACATCGGGCTGGGAAGCTGGCACTATGTCATCGGGCTGGACAGAGCTGGCACCGGGTCATCAGGCTGGGCAGCAGGCACCGGGTCATCAGGCTGGGCAGCAGGCACCGGGTCATCAGGCTGGGCGGTAGTTATCGGTTCCTCAAGCTGGATAATGGACACCGGGCATCAGGCTGAATAACGGACACCGGGGCATCAGGCTGGATAACGGACACCGGGGCATCAGGCTGGATAACGGACACCAGGGCATCAGGTTGGATAACGGACACCGGGGCATCAGGCTGGATAATGGACACCGGGGCATCAGGCTGGATAATGGACACATCCTGGGGCATCCGGCTGGATAATGGACACCGGGGCATCCGGCTGGATAACAGTCACCGGGGCATCCGGCTGGATAGCGGACACCGGGGCATCCGGCTGGAAAGAAGGCATCGGGTCATCAGGCTGGATAGCGGGCATCAGGTCATCAGGCCGGATAGGATCATTAGGCTGGGTAGCAGGCACCAGATCATCAGGCTGGATAGGATCATCAGGCTGGATAGGATCATCAGGTTGGGTAGGATCATCAGGCTGGGTAGGATCATCAGGCTGGGTAGGGTCATCAGGCTGGGTAGGGTCATCAGAATGGGTAGGGTCATCAAGCTGGGTAGGATCATCAGGCTGGGTAGGATCATCAGGCTGGGTAGCGTACACTGGGTCATCAGGCATCAGGGCATCAGGCTGTACAGCGGGCCCCGAAGCATCAGGCTCGACAGCGGGCACCGGGTCATCTGGCAGGACAGCGGGCCCCGGGTTATCTGGCAGGACAGCGGGCATCAGGGCATCTGGTAGGACAGCGGGCATCAATGCATCAGGCAGGACAGCGGGTATCAAGGCATCGGGCTGGACAACGGGCATCAAGGCATCAGGCTGGAGCGCAGGTGTCAGGTTATCAGGCGGGATAACAGAAGGCGGGTTCTCAGACATCAGACTGACCGGTTTGGATACTGGCAGGATGGTACTGGTTGGAAAGAATTTTCGTTTCTTCTTGGGTTTAGTTACTGAAGCACTGCAAGTAAATGCAGGGCTGTAAATGGAGGGAGCAGCTAAAGACAGAGAATAGCTGGAGGATGGAACATAGAAGGGAGCAGTTTTTACAGAGGACTTCTTTACAGAGTTAAAAGCAGGTACAGTGAGTGGGAACAGGGTACTGACATGTGGTTGATAGCAGGGTATACTGGGCTGTAACTGGGGGTGCTGTGGGAAATGGAGGAAGAGAGCTTTGAGCAGAGGAATGATTAGAAGCAGGACTGGGTTGTTGCAAGCTGACTGAGGCTGGGTGTAACAAATCTGACCATGTCTGTAGTACTGGTTGAACAAAGCTCAGCTTACACATAGCCTGTCTGACCAAAGACTGCACTGCGTTTATACAATCCACTAGCACATGTTATGAACATGCTGAATAATGCTCAAAGAAGCAATCCGGATCATCCTCCAACAACCATACCAGTGATTCTACCTGATCCGTACTGAATGGCAGCGAAAAGTCATCCCTGCTTTCAGGGGTACTGGACAAACCCAATTCAGCACAAGCCTGGATCAATGGCTGCACCTCAGAAAACAACCTGCCCTGATCTACTAGGGCAGGGGTCTGCAACCTTTTAAAGACATAAAGAGCCACTTGGACCCGTTTCCGAGAGGGAAAAAAAGACTGGGAGCCGCAAAAACCATTGCAACATTTAAAACAAATCCGACACTGCATATATTGCAAAAAACGCTCTGGTCATGAAGGGGGTTTAAGGGCCCAGTAAGCAAAGGGTTAATCAGGGCCACAGTGTATCGTCATAATCACATCTCATAGCCTTAGGTCAGTGGTGGGCAACCTTTTTTTTCGACTGAGCCAAACAAAACCACGATTGAAATTTATTTTGAGAGAAACATAAAACTGAAAATACATCCCCCATATAGTAATTCATCCCCCATATAGTAATTCATCCCCCATAGTAATTCATCCCCCCTATAGTAATGGCATCCCCCCTATAGTAATTCATCCCCCATATAGTAATTCATCCCCCCCTTCATGGTAAGGGGATCCCCCCAAGTAATTCATCCCCCATAGTAATTAATTCCCCATATTGTGTGAATTCACTTACCTTTGCTCCGCGCGTTCCTCTCGCTGGGTTCCCCCCGCCGTTCTGGTCTTCAGGGCGGACTGTGAGAGGAGAGGAGTTCGTCACGCTGCCCCGCCTACATCCGGGGGCTGCCCCGCCTACATCCTGACAGCCAATGTTTGCCAGCGGGCGCCCGGCACACAGAAGATCTGCATTAAAGAGCCGCGGCTTGCTGACCCTATTGCCTGTCACCTGGTGGGCAGTGTGCTCCGGAGCCGCAGGAAAGATGAAAAAGAGCCGCATGCGGCTCCGGAGCCGCGGGTTGCCGACACCCGTACTAGGGAATGAGCAACCCGCATGCACTCTAGCAGCTGACCCCTGGCATACTCCTTCAGAATCTGATTGCCGTATTCTCTGTCTTCTAAGACAAGTACTCAACCTCCTTAGGATGCATCCTTCACAACAAGCCAAGATGGCTTCCCTGTGCAGCCACTTCTGGTCAGGACTGGCCTTGGTGTTATGTCAGAGATCCGGGTATGACCAGAGATGTGTGGACTGACACAGGGAACAGCAGGCTTAAGAAATGATTAAATAATAATAACATTTATTAAGAGCACAAATATACAAATGCAGTGCAAACAAAAACCAAACCTTAAACTAATATTAATATGTATAAGTGTAGTCAGGGCTGGAGAGGTGGAGTGGTCAGGCAGGCCGGGTCAGGAACAATCGGGCAGATAAGGTACAACAGGAGCAGGCAGGAGAATGGTCAGGAATAGCCGGGGTTGGTGCAGGCGGAGTTTTAGCAGAGTCAGAGTCAAGCAGGAGAGTCAAGCAGGCAGAAGACAGGATAAAGGAGACAGGAAACAGGAAACAACAGGGCACATAGGAAAACACCAAGGCACTGATTGCAGGCCTGGTCCTGCTTCAATACACCTCCTGCAATCAGCCTCAGGTGATGGCGTGATTGCAGGAGTGAGATCCTGGCTGCTGAAAGCACCCGCTGGCAAGCACTGGTACTGCAGCCCACACGGCAGGTGAGCCCATTCCTGACAGATTACTATCTATATAACCTATTTAGGTCCTGGGAGTCTTCTGATCCTTCAGTTTTCACTTAATGCAGAACTAAAGGTCAGTAATAAAAAACTTCTGGCAGGCAGCTGTTTATTGCAGAAGACACATCCAATGCCTCTTCTGCAATAAGAAACACTTACTGGTCTGCTCACAGTCTTCTATTGAATGCACACTGAGCTGTGCATGAGCAGTTCAGTGTGCACCTTCAGCATATTCCAGCTGTGCTGGAATGATGGACCCCTGTGTACATGCGCGGGATGACCTCATTCTGCCACCAGCCGATCAATAGGCTGGAAATCCAGACAACTGAAATAGCCAGGGCAAAGACGACAACAGCCAGCAAGGGATTCAACTGCTGCATCGCTGATATGAGGAGGTGGAATTCTGGTAAGATAAAAAATTAAATATATGATGCAATCCATCACTAGCTTAAGCACAGCGGTCCCCTTGGTAACATCGTAGATCTGTTATTGCTCAACTTTAAATTAAAGTGATAGTAAACTCTTCTTTAATAATTTTACCTACAGGTAAGCTTATAATAAAGCTTACCTGTAGGTAAAATTAATATCTCCAAAACATTAACCATTTAGGAGATATTAGCCATTTTTAATATTCAGCACATGCACTCTGAAGGAACGGCATACTGTTCCTTCAGAGCACCGTGCCATGGCCCTGGTCTTCCACATGCATGCGCAAGAGTGACATCATCATGGCACAGCCAGTCAACCAGCCAGAGCTCGTGAACCCAGAAGGAAGACTGGGTGAAGATGGAAGCCCTAGGGAGCCGTGACAGAGTTGCGCTGGAGGGCTTCATTTCAAGGTAAATCCTTCATAGTGTGCTAATATGAGATGCATACTAGAACATTATGCCTTTACATTGCAGAGTATTTTTTTCTTTCTTTTTTTTTTTTGTTGATGAGGTGTAATACCGCTTTAACCTCCCTGGCGGTATGATTATTTCAAATTTTTAGTGCTGAAAGTGGTACCATTATTTTGCATGGAAATATGTAGTTTTTTTATTGTAGGCTGTATTTTTTAGGAATAACTCACTGAAATCTGTCCGAACAAGAGTCTATTAAACATCCCGGGTATGATAAAATTTGAAACACAAAATCATAAATTATAATTTAATAAATAATTATAAAAAATAATAATATAATAATAATACATTTAATTCAATAATATAATCAAACCAAAAACACTGAAATTTGAAATATAGCGCCAAGTTCGCACATCGCTGAGCAAAGTCGCAAAATCATTTCAGTGTCTGATGACGAATTTCCCCACGAATCATTATCACTCAATTCTGCAAGTGGTTCTGATTTACTATCGCTGTTCTCTAGCTGGTCTAAAACCACTTTTGACCTAAAGGGTCAAAGGCTTTTTGGACGCCATGGACTTTTCTCAGTTTCCAGGCAGAAAGAACAGACAAAATGCAGGCAGGGCACAGGACAAAGCACTAGGGACAAAATGTATGTGAAATGGGTTGAAACAGCAATGTTTTTGGAAAAAAATTACATTTTTTTAAACTTTCAAATTTCCTGCCGCCGGCGGCGCCCGTACGTCCCGACATCACAGGGACCGGAACACAGAAGCCGGATGCCGGCATCGGCCGGAGGACATGGCCGGGGACGCTGCAGGGGACACATCGCGGGACAAGGTAAGCTCTGCAGGGACTCCCTATGTGGCGCCGCATGGTAAGCCCGAGTGTAGCTCGGGGTTACCACTTTTGGTACTGACATTTTACCCTGAGCTACACTCGGGAATACCGCTAGGGAGGTTAACAGGCTAAGCCTCAAACTATATAGTACTGCTGTACCATAAGGCTTGGTGGTCACAACATGCATGCATTTCCTAGATGCGTCTGGGGTGCTATTATCAACTCATTTCACCCATGCACCTGTAACAAGGACAGTACGTTCCAGCGTGGTTTCCCGCATCGCAATTTGTGTGAACTGTTTCTATACAGTAAGTGCTTTGGGGTGCATTCACATGAGCGATTAGCACACACTGAGAGCTCCAGTGGAAAAAGTCTACAGATTCCTGCAGTTGGGATGGCAGCTGTGTGCAACAAGCTGCAGCCATCCAGGCCACGGTGCAATAGTAGGCTGATGGTAGATGTAGCTATCTGTGAGTATTCACACAGCCAGCAATTACCTAAGGTTTGGTACAGATGATTGTGGCTGGACACATTGGGGGAAATTTACTAAAACTGGAGCACTCAGAATCTGGTGCATGGTAGCCAATCAGCTTCTAACTTCAGCTTGTTCAATTAAGCTTTGGCAAGAAAACCTGAAAGCTGAGCTGCACTAGATTTTGCTGTCTCCAGTTTTAGTAAATACCCTCAGTCCTCATGCACACTGGAGGGATTTTGTGATAACGCTGGCAACATTAGCTGTGTAAAGTCACATTAAAATGTGAGTCTTTCAGCTTTTTTTAGCGTTTTCGCATTAGCGTTTAGTGGCATTTTGCCACGTTTAGCCACGATTTCCTGCCATTGCTGGAGTTTTTTTTTTTATCAAAAAAAAAAATTTGAGGGGTCAGAAAAAGTCCAAAAACGCTGGTTTGCTGCGTTTTACTGAGTTTTGCGCCGTTTTTCAGTGTTAGTGCATTTTTACAGCTAAAAAAACTCCTCTAGAAACCCACTAGTCCTGGCCAAAAAACATCCCAGCTAAAAAAAAACACTCATCACAGTCTATGTGTGAATGGACACATAGGATAACATGATATATGCTCTCACCACCTCCAGAACTGTCGGACAGAAAGTCGTCACGTCACTTCCGGTTATGGATCTACGTCACTTCCGGTTTGCCGCACGTCACACTGAAAGCGTTTTGTCATACCGTGACTTACTCATAGGGGTGCACCGGAAGTGACGTGACTCATTCTGTCCGACAGTTCCGAAGGTGGGGAGAGCACCATGTGGTATCTGCTGGTCACAGAGACATACTATTTGGGCTTGTTGATGTTTTTAACTTTGCAAGTGCATTACTTGGAGTAAATAAATCTATCTATCTTGGGTAATATACTATTGGAGCGGATTCTTTGTTCTTCTCTTTTCATGTTATATTGGAATGGAGTTTTGAATTATCCTGGCAATCAATCATTAAGTGGGCTGTTTTTTGGAGGAACCTCCTGGTCAAATTAGTGGATATCCTCTTGAGTATGCTTTAACAAAGGCAATATCTTATGAGTGGGGGCACACGGTGGGCACTGCACAAGGTTTTCTATACCTTAAAGTTTTTCGCCACATGAAGTTATTTCATCACTGGACTTTAATTTCTTCTTTATCATCTTTCATCATAGGACTTTTATTTATTATATATATTTTTTCTATTTTATTTTATTGATTATATATAATTTTTATGTCACGGGACTTTTTTTGAGATATCACATTATATGTTGCATTTATTAATTTGTATTTTTTTATTATTTATTTATTTTTATTTTTATTTTTTTTACAGAAATAATGGTTAAGATATGCATTAATGAATGATATATAATGTATGAGTATGGAGATTTATCACTAACGTTTTGATGATAACACTGTGAAGTATTCACTAAATAGGGTTGATACTCACATTTTTTTTACATAAGATAACATGCTGGGGGGTTCACTAGTTGTAGAAAAAAGCCATCAAAAGCCAAAAACAGCAGCTGTAAAAACATCCAGTGTGTATGAGGACTTAAGCTTTGGCAAGAAAACCTGGAAGCTGAGCTGCACTAGATTTTGCTCTCTCCAGTTTTAGTAAATAACCCTCACTCTGTCTGCACCCAGCCATAATCATCTGTCCGTAACCGCAGGTAATCACTAGCTGTGAAAACACTTACATATAATAGCAACCACTGTTAGCATGATCGCCCATGTGAATGCACCCTTATCCTAGGTTCATACCTAAGTGTTTTCCAGAAACTCACTACAGTCCATTTAACATGATTTCCTATGGGACACATTCACATGTCCGTGTTTTCACCTGGTGCATTTTTTGGAAAGCATCAGGGACTTTTTTAACCTCTTGCCACTGTATATATACGTTTGCAGGGTGGCACTGGGGCGCAAAACCACGTTTTAAAACGGGTTCCGCGCTCCCGACGTTTTTGCCGGCAGGGGGCGCGCTCGCTCCTGCCGACCCGCGGGTGACACCATTTGATCCCGGAGGGATCAATCATTAGATTTCAGCCAGTGATGTCTGGCTGAAATCAGATGATCGGTCCCTGTCCTATCCTGTCCTGTGTTGACATTTACACAGGACAGGATATGATGTCATTCTTCTCTGCCTGGACACATTCCGTTCCAGACAGAGAAGAAGACATACTAACAGTGAGTAAAACAGCACATACCCACAGTTAGAACACACCTAGGACACATTTAACCCCCTGATCCCCCCCCCAGTTAACCCCTTCACTGCCCTGTCACCAGTGTCACTGATCAGTGAAACCGATTTTTACTGATCACTGTATCAGTGTCACTGGTGACTTCCGATAGTGTTAGCGCCCCTCCCAGACAGCGCTAGTTTGCCCGCTAGTACACCAGTAATCCCATTTAACCCCTTAATCTCCCCCCCCCCCCCAGTTAACCCCTTCATTGCCCTGTCACCAGTGTCCCTGATCAGTGAATCCCGATTCCCCTGATCACTGTATCAGTGTCACTGGCGACTTCTGATAGTGTTAGAGCCCCTCCCAGATATCGCCAGATTTCCCGCTAATACACCAGTAATCCCGTCTAACCCCTTGATCGCCCCCCCCCCCCCCGAGTTAACCCCTTCACTGCCCTGTCACCAGTGTCATTGATCAGTGAACAAATTTTTAATGATCACTGTATCAGTGTCGCTGGCGACTTCCAATAGTGTTAGCGCCCCTCCCAGATAGCGCCAGTTTGCCCGCCAGTACACCAGTAATCCCATTTAACCCCTTGATCGCCCCCCCCCCCCAGTTAACCCCTTCACTGCCCTGTCACCAGTGTCATTGATTACAGTGAACA